GTGCTGTTTTTTGAACATGCATGAATTATGAAAAGTTACTAACGACTCCCATTGTCCTTAGAGATGAGAACTGGTCGTTTCCGTTCCAAGTCCGATGCGACGACATGGAAGATAATGCCAGTTTGAGATTTTTATGGCTGTTGTCTGGCGGTGTGACCGAAAGCATCGTTATGATCCGACCTCGTGACTTTAATCGACATATTGATCTGGCTTTCAAGCAATTGTCCATAGCTGTTGCGATGGTTGCCCAGCCGGCCGCGATCTGATCTCGGCCTGTCTTCCGTCGATGAATATCTTTTATGCGAATAAGCGAATCAGTGTCAAAACCTTGAACGTCACTACACGAGAAAAAACCCCGACCTGAAAGGTAAAGGTGCCGATTTGGGAGATTGTGGTTGGGTCATGGTCATGTGGTGGAAAAACTCGCGTGAAGGACTTGAGATGAAAGACATGTTGCACTAGAAAAAGATCTCTCCCAGTCGGGTTTTGAATTATGCCTATGATAAGGACGGGCAAAGTCTGCCATGAGGAATTCTTCATCTCTTGGAGAAATTATTACTGCGGGAGATTCTTCTTAAGCGACCTTTATCTTTCAGAATCTTTTGAATTTCTTGAAGGGTAAAAAATCTATGATAGGTAATATTTCCATGCAATATCTTGACGATCTCAAAATTTATTTATTTTTTATCACAAGGTTTTTTTTACACCCCCTTCAGCCCCGTGCATCTGTTGTTATTCAGAATGTTGGTGCACCAGAACGAGGAATTGAAGCGTCAACAACTGGCAATTGAGGAGGAACGTGAGAGTATGCAAAGGAATTTCGACGTGATGGTCTATCGCTATGAGACAGGCGACGAGGTCGATTCGACGACACCGGCCGGGCAAAAGCAGAAACCGTTAGTTGACGTTTAACCATTAAGTATTAACAAAGTCCTAGGGCAATTGAAGCCGGCCCGTTGGAAGATAGATTTGGATTCAGAGAAGCTTCGAAATCCTCAAGTGCTAAAATTGTAAATTTCGTAAGAATATAGTGGGGGGTGGAATAAACATAGATGCGCTCCATGGCCCCCGCTACCATCAGCTCCACCCACCTGCGAACCGAGTTTCGTTTCTGATTCTGCCTATTCTGAATGGGCAGGGCCCTCAAGATTCTGTACGCATCTCCCTACTCCTGAGAATGCGCCATTGACCGGGGCACGCACACAGAGTTTTGGTGAACAAATTTCGGACTGGTACTGCAAAATACAGCCTCTGGGTTGTTTAGCACAGTCGGCGAGATTTTCGGTGGTATTCCTGGGCACTTGGACCTTGGAGTAAGCGACTGCGATGAAGTGGGGGGGGGGCATCGCGGAAGGAAATGTGCCACCCGAAGTAATCGAAGTAATCGCTTGGCTGCCGAGGAGTGAGCGATGGCGTTTTCACGAGGAAAGCTGTGCTGGTTACTGAGCAGGACTCCTAAAAGCGATCCGCCCACTAGTTAGTTGGTGATTTGGACGAGCTGCGTTGCCAGCAGCGGCACAACTGGAGCAACTCGATTAAAGCGTGGTTTGGCATGGTGCCACCAAACGCGTTGCGGTAAACTCGTCCATACGTCCGCTTTTTAGCTGCTGTCCGTTCTTGAGCGAAAATCAACGGCCAAACAGAGTTTTTTTCGCGCTTTCTTCATGGATTTCTCTGCTTTTCTCGCCATTGGCGTACCATTGAGCTCTCCGACGTCGTAAATCCCTATAAAACCTATTGTAGTGGCTTTGGGTTCTGTAGAAACTCTTTGTCTCTCATCGTCAGAGGCAATCACCATATCCTGAGTGATAGGAAGCCTTGTTGGCATGAGTGACATTAGATATGCCACTTGATGCAGAACCACGCGCATGATGATTGAAACCCTAGCAGAAGCTCTTCCTTAGAGGTTTTCCGAAAAGGGTTATGAACCGTAGATAATAGAGAAGAGTACCCGAAACTTTGCATAAATGAAAGCTTAATCTATGTTGGTCTTGATGAAAATTCTCTTTTTAGCGGTAAAGTGCAGTTCCGATCAAGATCGAGCAATTCGGATCGACCGCCTTCGAATGCGAGGTTGTCACAAGTGTCGTTCAGTGAGTCTTTTTTTTAGCGAAATATCAGGTACACTATAGCTTAACGCTTCCTAGTATGAAGAAAAGAAGAACTCATGCACCCTACTTCTATGTAAGGTCGCTGGTGCGTTTGAGTGCATAACTGGCTCGAATGCAGTTGGTATGATGAATAATGTGGAAGAAAGAGAATCCCTTGCTCCGATCGAATATTAAACCCTAATAGAACGAGTGTGGCCTGCTCGCGAGAAAAGGTACTCTCGTGCAACCTACCAAGACCTTACCCATAGCAAACGCCGCCTTCGTGGCGGCCTTCTCCTGTGACTTCCAGCTGCAGCCAGTGTTCTCCCAGCGTCGGACTCGGGCTTTCTGGTCGAGAAGCAGAGCAGCGCGTCAAAGAGGACGGCATTAGCAAGCCGAAAGGCTTCAATGGACGACTCTTTCAGCATACCGTCTGCTTTTGAATTCACAATGCACCCCGACGACTAGCCGGTTGATCCAGGCGGTGTTTCTGATCTAGGGTTCGAAGGCATGGCTTGTTTGAGGGGATTCGTACCAGTCTTTCAAAAGTATGGTACTGTCGAATTATTGCGTCGCTTTATTGTCAAGAACAATCGGTAATCTAGACAACGCTTTCACCACATCGGGAAACTTTCAAGATGGTTAGCAACTTGGTTCCTTCGGTGTTATTGTTCCTTCGTTATGTTGAATACATGAAAAGAAGAGATGATATTGAAATCATTTCTAAGAGCGCTTACGTGCGGCAGTGGCAGGAGGCCCTATGGTGAGCAAGGATTCCTGCATCAAGTACTGCGATAATTCCAATCGAGGCCAAAGAAACCATGCATCCATTCCGAGTCGTTTTTTGTATCGCCAAGTTGCTTATGCCTCTACAAGTTATTCGGTGGAACAAATTCGCATTCTAACGCCACTACTATTCTGAATGGAAAGTAGAATGCCTGACTCAACCAAAAAAGAGAATGATCGCCACAAACGTTTTATTCAAGTTGCGTCTGGAAGGCATCAGACCAGGCGAGCGCATCGAATATGTCCTCTTTCTCCATGTCCTTCCTACTCGGGAACACTCAAACCGGTTACCGCTTGCTTGGAGGGAGGAAGAGGAAGGGAGAATGCTGAGTCTCTAATCTGCTTGGTCAGGAAGAGTCGCGCAAAATGGTAGCTAGTGTTTGCAAGGAATATACAGCGGTATCAAAAGACCTTAAAATAACTCCAAAATAAGTATTAACAGAAAACCATTCCCTTGTTTTGTTGATTTTGTTCAATATTTTAGGTGATATGGATCGTTCGATCTACAGTGTCAATGTATGCGTCCCAAGTGCAACTACCTGATAATCATGCCGAAGACGTCATCTATGCCCCTGACGAGATCATTACTAGTAATGGTGAGTAGGCTTTGTTGAGTTTTTTTTATTCCATTATTCTTTATTTATTTATTTATTTATTTATTCGCTTAGTTATCTATTTACTTCTTCATTCTTGGCCTATGTTATGTTCAAACGAGGTGGATGCGATCAGTGATTATCACGAAATGCATTAATACATAAATGAGCAATCCATTTATGTAAGTAATTTGATGATTGGGCGGAAGTGGTGTAGTGGCAAGTGGCACGCTTACCACGCGAGCGGTCCGGGGATCAAATCCTGGGTCGTGAGTCGCCCGGGCCAACCAAGCCTTCCATCCCTCCGGGGTCGGTTAATTGGTACCAGACTTGTCTGGGAGGATAAAAACACTGACTTGTACATCGGCTGGCCCCGCAAGTCATTGTATAGGCCACATCGCATTCAAACGCCACTACGAATGTACAAATGGAAGTAGAATGCGTGCCGCATCCCAAAAAGGGATTGATCAACGGCAAATGCTTTATCCTTTTTATCCTTTAATTAAGATGATTATAAATGATTGCCTACAAAAGTAGTCGATTCCCGCGGCTATGGTAGATACTGATCCTCTCAATAGCCACCAGCTGTTTTCTCTAGTTTTGCAGAATCGCCTACCTGGGCTCCTGAAATGGTTCTGTAGTTTGGGGGTGGGGGGGGGAGGTTGTCAGCGGCATTCATTTTCTGATGTCTCGCTGGACAGCTACAGTATCAGTTCGAAATAATGATCCCATGAATCAAAGGGAATGTAGCCAAGAATGGAAAGGGGGAAGAGAGGTGGTAATATGGGTCGGGTAAGTCATTTGATACGTGTGATCAGTTAGAATTACGAATTCTCAGTATCTTGCTGAGACAGACAACAGAAAATGAGCGCCGCCGACTGCCTGCCTTCCCCTCTTCAACTATATTAACACTGGTCTTGGTTTTTGAGTGGCTTCAGTCCACATTTTAACCATTAATATGATATTCAGTAAATAGATAGTTATGAAAATACTTGAAAGCAGAAGTAAGTGATGTGATGATCAGTGATAATTGCAGTGTTGAGTCAACGAGATGACAGTTCCGACTGCTATTTGGTGGAAAAAGACCGTAGTGAAAACGGGTAAGTTCTTATTGTCGAATGCATTTTTTGAATTGTGTATAAAAGAAAGGCTTTTGGTAATTATGACTTGTTTTTGTTTGTTGACAAACAAACAAAACAAGTCAAAATCCATTGCTAAAGCTTTCAGCCTCGCGGTCATTGCCGATATCGGCTAACCGGCTCAACACGTTATACGTGTGAGTGCTGAAAGCTATGGTACGTATACCATGAAAAGCTGAGTTGGGATGAAATGGTGCCCCGGTAGCGTAACTGGTAGCGCACTTGCCCGGAAAGCGAGAGGTGCGGGTTCTAGTCCCGCCTGGGGCGAAAGTTTTGTTCACAACCCAGCATTCTTGTGAAACTTTTGATAATGTTTCGTTCATCTGGTGAGCGCCGAGCTTTGCAACTTTCTATTGGGATGCGCCATAAACTTTACAT